GAAGTTTCAGAGCAAGGGAGTTCTGTGCCTGTCTGGGTGCCATGGACTTTGGCTATGAGCAGCTGAATGAAAGACATCAAAAACAAGCTTAACTGGTCTGTCATTACTGTGGCATGCCATGCATTTGCTGTTGAGCCATGTTGCAGTGTTTGGTACTGTTTCTCTAGCACTCTGTGTGCCAAATACAGTCATTAGGAGATCTGAGATCTGTCAGCCATCTGTGCCTGGTATTTGTTCATCCTCAAATGGGGAAGATATCAGTACAGAGCTACAGTGGGGGATGGTGGTTCTAGGAGGTCTCTGGGGCTTGTCATTTGAGTTATTGTGTCCCTTGCATTTACTGTCCAATCCTTCTACCTGACTAATGTTTGAGTCTCCTGAGAATAATGAATGTCACAGTGTGACAACTGGTTAAAACACCGTTTCTTAAATATTTGCCAATGGTCAGGAATATCCAGACAGCTTTCATGTAAATGAGAAATTTACTAATCCGTGAACTTGGGCTTTTTGTAATTTTAATTTACATTACATTGGGTTCATGAATTAGGGAAAGAAGTTATGGCTTCCTTCCTGGTGGTAGGTTAGACTATACTAGCTTTGACACACCATTTACAGAGGTGGATTCATTGTGCAGCAAAGCTGAAGATGATACTGACCAAATTTGTGCAAAGTACCCTTTATTAATTCTTCTTGTGCAGGTTACTTGCGTATATTATAAGAACTATCTCACTATGTTCTAGTAATGTATGGAAACCTGTGGAGACAAAATGATTGATTATTAGTCCTGATATTTGTAATTTGATTTGTGCAGCAGGCATTAACCAATACTAATTTCTAATTTTCCATGTTCTTAGTTCTGAAATTCCAAATCTAGATGGTCATGCTATCAGATCTGAGTCTGCTTTGTTTAACCCAAGTACGAAGATGTAGTGTAAAGTGATATTAATGAAGACTGTACTGGGGCCCTGGTCACCCACAGTCAGCAGGAGAGCTTCAGATTGGGATAGGCCTAATAATGAACACAAACGTAGTGGAATATGTTGCCAAACTGAATCCTTCATACTCTGTCAAATGGAAACACCAGAATAAATCTTCATGTCTCTCTGCTGGACTGTGGGTTTGGCACAGGGATTGCTCAGACAGTAGCTCCAGATGCCCTGAGAACAGAGACCTCCTTTGAAGTAAGTTACAGAGTTCTCATATTCCATTCAGAGAAGAAATAGAACGTAACAAATTGAAGCAATTTTCATTTGCTGCTGATTAAGTATATTTGGGAATAGTAGCCAGTTGGACTACCCTGTGTCTTTGCTAGTTTGGGAAAAATTGTCTTCTTCCTGGGTTACCTTATGAGTACAGAATGCCTCTCTAAAGCATGCGCAGTCTCTTAAAAGAGCAAATCCTTTTATTTAAATCCACCAGTATATGTGGTATTGTTTGTTGTTTGTCATAGCAGTTCCTTTTAAATAAACTGGCAAGATTTATTGCCACAGTGCAAACTGAGGGAATGATATTTTAAGTTGTCATTGAATTGTATGGCCAATCAGTCTGTGATGTGAAGCCTTGAGAACTCCAGGAGAGACCTAAAAACATGTTGCCCTGTGGAGACTTGAAAAGTCTGTGAATCTGCTGTGAGAATTTTCCCTCAATTCTCATGCTGGGAAATGTGTTATTTCAGAAAATTTAGAAGTGACAGAGGAATTTGACTTTTCAGCTTTGAAGTTCTGAAGCATGTGAACATTTTTCCTTATTTGTGGGCATGACAAACTCTGAACACTCTGTTCTGTCTCTATGTGTGGATATGTACTTACAGTGCTATGGCACTGTACAGAAAAGAATGTTTAGAGGAATCAAAAAGGACAAGTTGAACTACAACACAAATTAAATAACAGAGATAAATGATGCTGCAGGAGTTAAGATGACAAAGGCCATGTGTCTGTAGGGAAGAAATCATATCTTCAAGCAGCAGATTGCCCTGAATTGTTTATTCTTCCTTATTTTTAAATCTGGGTTCACAGAGAATCAGAACCTTGAAGATCATTGTACTGGGACTAAGACGCGTCTGTTAAGATGACCATGAAACCTGATAGAAATACACATGAGAAAGGCATTGTTTGCTTGATTTTTATTTTCATTTTTTTTTTCCCCCCTTGGAAATAGAGTCAATTAACTTTCAGGCACAACAGGTTTTGATCCATAACTGATTTCTTCACCTTATCTTGGAACAGGCAGTGCACCTGTGCTCTTCTCCACTGCTCTTCTGAGCAGTGTAGAATAATGCAGTTCATCTGTCTGAGCAACACTGACCCCCAGGAATCTAGGAAAATGGATTTTTCTTCAGGTCTTGTGTAACAGAAATTCCTTCTTGCTCTTGTTCCATGCAAGGCACTGCCTATGGCCTTAACTCCTCTGGTGGACTGGAACTCCAGCAGTCCCCTTGGCAGGATTCATTTTTAACTTCGGGAGATTGGAAACCTCTTAAAAGTGTATGTGAACAGAAATGTAGGGGATATTCAGAAGATTTTTAGAAACTTTGTAACAAATCTAAAAGGAAAACAACATCCCCACCCTCAGTTGATGAACTATGATAGACATTTTGTTTATTATGTCTGTTACCATTTGCAAACTGTCAGTGGTGGACTGTCAGTATATCAGAATTTCTCGTGTCATAGGTGATATTATTTATCACCACTATGTCTCATCCTCTCTCTCCACTTGCAGACAGAGCAACCATAACAAAGAACAGCATCTGTATTACATTTTGCATGGGCATCACTAGCTAATTTTTTTCCATACCTGAAATTAACAGTGGGGAAAGATTGTCTGTTAGGAAGCTAATCTGGTCAGACTATGAGCAAAATCATGTAGCCTAAAATTCATAGGAGCAGTTAGACTTCTGCCTGTGTTTAGGTACCTTCATACCTCTTTGGATGTGACTCTGAATGCTTCTGACTCCCAGTTGCATATTGGAAACCATAAATAATTAGAAATTAGATGATATCCACTAATTTATTAGGATATTGAGATGCAACTGCATACCATGAAAACATATGAAACAGGATAAGTGCCTCACAGAAAGCTACTATTGAAAAGACACTCTTGGTATCTGAATCTCAAAGCATCCGTTCATTTCACGTTTTTCTTTAAGTATGCCCTATAGAAAGCAAGAAGTAAAAATGTTGTGACTTCTGTGTGTTAAACTTTTCACACAGATAGTAGAGTACATACCTTTACTAGAAAATGATGAAATTGTCTCTATAACTCTACAGTGATAAAAATTCCTTATTGTTAAATATAAACAGTTTTATGGTAATAATAGGAGATTTGCAAGGAAGAGAGATTCATTTACTTCTAAGAAATGTCTGACCTCTGCTACTTCACAACCCATTAGAGAGAGCTAAGGTCCACATAAGCTGGCATTCTTTCTCTTTTACCTGGAAGGTGTTATTTTTTCAATAAATACCTAAATCAAGTCAATATTTTTAGAGCTAGTGTAATTACCACTTGAAATGGTCTAATCTTTGTACTGAAGTTGTCTGATACTTTGTATCCAGTGCCAGTTAGAAAGAAATAATTAAGATGTATTTGGTAATTTAACTGGAACATTTGAATGGGTTACATAAACAATAGACTAATCATAGAATTGTCTAACCATTTAAAATAACATAAACTCTACTGCATATACTTTTATTTGAATTAATGTTGCTGTCAGAATTTATGAGAAATCTTGAAAGAGGATTTCATTCTTACCTTATGGTTAATGCTCTCATAAATAATAATTTGTCAATTCTGTAAGACAATATGTACTATTAAGTTGTTCAGTGCACCTCTTTGAAATAGAGGTGTGCATTTAATGTTCTGTGCAATTACTCTATGGATAAAACTGCAACTTTCAGATCTCATTTTTAGAACTGCCAAATCATACTCTAACTTATCTTTTAGTTCTAAAGAGAATAAATGCCATTAATAATCTAATGCTATATAGAACAGACCTGAGACTCCTCTTGTATATGCAAGTATCGTGCAGTCTTTTTCTGCATTAAGTATTATATGAGTGTATCATTGATAACTGACCAACAAATAATCAAAAATATAAATAAACAACAGTAAAAAAAATAAATCTGTTTTGCCCCCAGAAAAGCAATCTGATATATTAAAGGTCCATTAGGAGTTTGTTCTGGTTTCTGCTTAGACCCATGAAAGTGATAGTAGCTAATCATTCACAAATTGCTGATCTTTCTTAGAGTTGAACATCACTATCCTGTTTGATATTTTGGAGTTTATCTCCTTGCACAGAACTTTTATTCTTTCATTCTTTTCTACTGTTTTGTAAAGCTACTTTAATTTTGTATGAGTGAGAGGGAAGAATGCAATATCTAGTGGAATATTTGAGGTGAAAGTTTATATTTATCTTTAATTATAGTTTCAAAATTATTTTATGTGATCTTGTATATGCAAACCAAAATATCCAGAGAGCAAAAAAATGGGCAATTGTACCATTTTTATATGTATTTTTGCCTTTATCACATTGCCAACAGTCAAGGCTGCTGTCTACCTTAAAACTGACCCAGCTATATTTGTTGGGCTCCAGTAGCACTCATTATAATGTCTGTGACAGCCTGGCATCAGGAGAACATCAGCATGGAAGCAGCCACTTCTTTTCATCTGCTGTCACTGTCATCTGCTCCGTAGTCTCTGGGCTGAGCTTCTCACTCTCTGTGTAGGGTATTTTTTTTCCCTCTGGACAGGAAAGTAAGGCCTCTGCATGTGTTTAACCCCACATTTTTGCAGGATACTATTATTTCTGCTTTTAATTGACTGCAGTTTTACAGGAGAGTGTGTCCCAGATGTGATTACTCCTAAATGAAAGAGCGCTAGTGTTGGACTCATTTCCCATCCAATTACCAGTTGCCCCTTCATTTTATTTTGAAAGTTTTTTTCACTTGAGTATGGGGTTTCCAAGTGAATCTGGTAATCCTGGATTTTTTCCCTTGTTTTTTCAGGTGACCTGTAACTGTTTCACCATCAGTAATGGAGAGATGCAGGATGTTGGTGTTGGCCTATATCCCAGGTACCATGGACACTGTTTCATTCACAGGCAAAATCTGTTAGGTTTTTTTTTCCTCTTTTCCTAGGTTGCTATAAGCACCATCAAAGTAGCAGGTAACATGTTCAAACAAGAAACTGGGAAATGCAAATAAATTAGAAAAGAATAAAAAACAGTCATCAAATTGAAAGCATTCTTAGGAGTTCTGATTACAGAGTTAAAGCAGGCTAAATAGGATGTGTCTCTATTTTTATGGGGATTGTAGTCATTCTTAAGTAAGAATAAATGCTAACATTAGAAATGTGTGACTAAGGCTTCCTAAAAATTTGAAAGAAATTATGTTCTGTGTTGCTTTGAAGGATAAATATTTTACAACCAGGAGCCTTCTAATTTGTCAATTAAAAGAAAAAAAAAATGAGTATGTTTATTAGTAAATTACTATAACTAAGAAAGAAAGGTAAAAAGGTAAACCCCTTGAAAGATGATATTTGAATTCTTGTTTGCATTAGTTAAGAAAGATGTACCAGGTAATGGTATGCGTTCATAGAATTTTGTTACAGTACCTGTCAATGTTGAACATGAATAATTGAACGTTTTATCTTACTCTAATAATTTATTTGTGTGAATATAGGGTTGAATTGTATTGTCAGGATCTAAAGGGGCCTGTTGCTGTTGTTTCTTTTCCTACTAATGCCATACATACGCAATTTGACTGAGGACACAATCTTGAGGCCTGCTTTGTGATAAAGAAAGATAAGGGAAAGACTGCTATGAGGACAGGGAAATTAATATTATGAAAAACACAGGACAGTCATCTGATTTCAGAGTAGAATGGAAATAAATTTTTTCATGTACTTTGGGAAAAATGGAACAGTATTCTGGAGCATTATTATTAGTTAAAAGTTTTCTTTCCATTGAAAAAAGCCCCTGACTGGCAAAGGTAGCTGTGTTCTTTGATGGTGCCCTGCAAAAAAAGATTTTTTCCCAGTTCAATTCAAAGCAGCTTTAATTTTGCTACTTCAAATCACTCTGAGCTGGGAAAATTATGAATTTAAATCTGTAGTTCCCAAATCCTAGGCAAATGTTCTTCCATCCTCTTCCTCCCATGCAGATTTTAAAGAGAGCAAATTCAGGCATGGCTTCTACTTGAAGACAGACATAGCTAAGTGATATTTTTTCTCCCATAAGCATGAGCAGCCCATCTTCAAAGGATTTTATTTATTAATAACTAATAATAATAATAATAATAAATGATAACTTAATTGCTTGATATGTAAGATGCAATATAGTTATTATATTATATACTTCTAAATTATGTCCACAGTAATGACAGTGTACTAAAGATTTTTTCTTTCTCTTGCTCTACAACCCCTCACAGCATGTCTTTGCTGAATCACAGCTGTGACCCAAACTGTGTGATCATTTTTGAAGGATACCAGCTTTTACTTCGCTCCATCCGAGAGATCCAGATTGGCGAAGAGGTAATTAACTTGTCCTCCCTTCCATCACAAACACCTGCAACAATGACATCTCCCTAAATAAATTCCAGACTGCAGGGCCACCAGCTTAATATTTTGATGATATATTGATGCCAATTTTTAGCACGTAGCTATCAGGGAGAAAATGATTAATAGAATCATCTCTTCACACTGCCTGGGCCCCTTAATCATTACTTCCCATAAATCACTAGCGGTCTTGATAAATTCTTGTTCCTCCTTTCCTCCTCTGGGCACTTCATTTTGTTTGTGTTTGAATGTCTTTACCCTGATGGAAACACTTAGAATATTTCTGAGTGGAATGCAGTGTTCACCAAGTCGCTGCAACAATAAGCATTTGTCAGGCTGCAGCTATGCTATAGTAGTAAACCCTTAATTGGTAGTGAAAGTAGCAATGCCAGGTTTGGTTTTTTGTCCTTTCACTAGGAAAGACTTCAAAATATCACTCATAAGAGATTTCAGATTCTAAATTATTCACAGCTTTGTTTTTAAGACAGCATTCGTATTTATTTTGAAAACAATTCATTTGTAGCTAGGTAAGCATTTAGATGTAAATGTCTGTCAGAGAAACACAGTGCAGAATTTGCTTAGTAAAATCTGCGAAGAGAAATGCATAAGTAATTTGGTATGTAACAATGACCTGTGCAGTTCTAGCTCTTGGTTATTTCATAATCATGACCTCGTGTAAATACGGTTCACATCAGTAATTCAATGTCTAGGAAGATCAAGGGCATACACATTATAATTCAGGAGCAGTATCTCTTCCTCCCTTTAAATTGTTGTTGTGCTTTTTTTTTTTTAATGCATCCTTTTTCTACATTCAGAATCTGTAAATGGTAAAATATATGGTTAGGCAAAATGCTGAGGAGAACCAACACCAAAGCTTTTGCATGTTTAATTTTTCTGACGAGAAATCTTATAGGATGCAGTATGCTTCTGTGGAGCCAGTAAGTGTAGCCATTATTGTCTGGCATTCTTATTCAAGTCGAGTTATATGTACTTATACACACTGTTCATTTATCTTGACTTCTTGATTCACAAAGATGGGTTATTTATTTAAAAATACAAGCAGACTGTAGTGTCTTCCCAGGGTATAAGTGTGTTAATCATTAGAGCTCTACATTCTTATTTTTATGTACGAGTCTATTTTTCCAGCAGTGACTCTGTGACACAAATTTTAGACTTTTATGGATCTCTAAAGCACAGAAGTCTCCAGGTCAAAATCAGTGGTGAAGTAGTTATGGTGCAAATTATAAGTCATTTGTAAGGTAATCAAGGAAATAAATATAAATGATAAAGTAGAACAGTTTGAACTAATTTCTTAGCAGTGAATTGGATGGATAGTTGTGTGAATATGGACTTCAAAATGATTACTCCTTGAGGATATCATGTTTTCTAAGAAACTTTGCTTCAGAAAGTCAGAATTTTCTGGAAAGCTTAAGTTCTGTTTTCTTTGATACTTTAATGGCTTCTAGTTTTGGTTCTTAAAGAAAAGCTTGTTTTAATGGACATATAAGACAGTGTGTATAATAATATCATATAAAACAATATAATTAGAATCATAGAATCATAGAATCACAAGGTTGGAAATGACCTGTAAGATCATCTAGTCCTACTGTCTTCTCATTACCATTGCTACCACAAACTAAATCAGATCTCGTAGCTCCTCATCCAGACACCTCTTGAACACTGCCAGGGACGGCGACTCCACCACCTCTCTGGGCAGCCATTCCAGTGCCTGACCACTCTCTGAGAGAAAAAGTTTTTCCTCATGTCTAACCTGAACCTCCTCTGGTGCAACTTGCGGCCATTACCCCATGTCCTCCTCGTTGCCTCTTCACTACAACCTCCCTTCAGGAGGTTGCAGAGCACAATGAGGTCTCCCCTGAGCCTCCTCTTCTCCAGACTGAACAATCCCAGCTCCCTCAGCCACACCTCATAGGACTTGAGCTCCGGACCCCTCACCAGTTTCGTTTTCCTTCTCTGGACATGCTCCAGGGCAACCAGTTTCATATCCATTGAACAGTCCACCCATCAAATCCATACCTTTCCAATTTGGAGAGAAGGATGTTGTGGGGGACTGTGTCAAAGGCCTTATTGAAGTCCAAATAGATGGTATCAGTGGCTCTTCCCTTGTCCATTGACCCAGTTACATCATCATAGAAGGCTACTAGGTTGGTCAGGCAGGACCTGCCCTTAGTGAAGCCATGCTGATTATCCCATATCAATTCCCTGCCTTCCATGTGCCTTAGCATAGCTTCCAGGAGGATTCGCTTTGTGATGTTCCCTAGCACTGAAGTGAGGGTGACAGGTTGGTAGTTCCCTGGGTCATCCTTTCTACTATTCTTTAAAATGGACCCAACATTGCATTTTTCCAGTCACCAGGGTTTCACCTATCTGCCATGACTTTTCAGATATTGTTGAGAGTGTCTTGGCAATTACGTCAGCCAATTCCATGAGAACTCTAGGATGAATCTTGTTGGAACCTGTAGATTATATTGTCTATGGTATTATACTGTATAATGTCAAAAGTTCTGAGATGGTATGATCAACGTTGTGTCAAGTCAACAAGAAATCTCAAGTAATTATGAGCAGTAGAAAACTTGCCTGATGCTGTTCAAGCATAAAGATTTAGAATGAGATCCCATAATGATTAGTAGAAAGTGAATAATCACTAAGATTCATTAGAAATAAGAAGCTTAGTAGCAAGTCAGCATGAGATTAGAAGAGCACTCGGGCATTACTATTCATAGAGGGCAAACTTGATAGGGCTTCTGAGCACTTGCCAGAAAGGTATCAAACTCTGGAATATGATGTATTCACTATGGCAGTGAAAAGTCAAAAATGTTTTTGTGTGTTTTAGTTCTTTCTGTAAAAGAACGCTACAACAATTTACTCATATTTATCAGTTGTTAATCACCTATAATCGCAGGGAAATCAGAGACAGAGTAACTTGAGGCAACTGGTTGTTGTGGTCATCTCACAATTATAAAGAAAGCTCAGGAGATGTTACTTTAATTGTGCACCAGTAGGATACATGGTATTATACTGAATGTGTCTGCTGTGGTGTGTTGCAGACTTATTTTGGAATCAGATTTATGCCTCAGTCATACTTTAGAGGGTTCATGCTGTAAACAGTAATTATACTGATCACCACTGATAAAATGTATGCAAGACCATAAGAACCTGAAAAAATAATAATTTCCTGATGGAAGTTTTCTTGTTTTAGTCTTGTGTCTGTGCAGATGTTGGCCTTGCATGTTTTTCACAGGAGGACATGTAGCATTTCATGGGTTTTAATTTGATTTATGTGTGGGATTTCAAATTTATTTAGGGCCAAAAAATAGGCAATAGGAAATTAGGACTCATAAGGCAGAAGAAAATTTTGGCCTGAATCCCTGTGGAATAAAGGTGCTAAATCTGATGATGTGTATTTGGAAAACCAATCATTTCTAAAATCACATGCAGAAATTCTAGCCTCTTTGGTCCTCTTTTGTGGCAAAGACAGTGTTACCAGTACTACCTGAAGCACTAAGAAAGTGCGAGTCATAACTATTAGTTTTTATAGGAATTTAAATATGTTATTCATGTATAATCACTTGGTTTTCAGAGCTAAAGCTTTAAGAAAGCAAAATGTGCTTCAGGGATCATCATAAATACAGAGAGCTGGGAAGATGGAGAATTGTCTGTTCCTTAGATTTTACTTTGCAAGACAGAAGTTCAGATTTATCATTGGGTATATTGTTCAGATTTCGTACTATGGTTCTATTAAAATGCATGCTTTTTGAAGACAGAAAGTTACTGTTTTAAACAAAAACACACTGTGTTCCCATTGGCTTCCACAAGTAATTTTTATCAATTTTTTTGTTAATTCACTTTGCCTACTCTCCGATCAGAAGTTGCATAGCCATGGTTAGTTTGGTGCGTAGCTCCAATCAATTAGTCATACTCGAGAGACAGGATGTATGAGATGATGTTGAGTTCTGCTCCAAAATGTGTGCGTGGCTTCATGTCTACTTCAGAGTTCAGTATGAGCAAATTTGTGTATTTTCTGTTGAAAGCCACATAATATACAGTCCTCTTAATTTTTAAATGCGTACTAAATAAAATTTGTAATTTCCTATGACCAGCAGTAAATATATTCTTGATGGATTTTCAACGGAGATGTATAAGATTTTCCTGGAATTCAACTCATGTTGATCATAAATGCCAAAACAGAAAAATCACAGCCTCCTCATGACCTACGTAACTCTGTCTTAAGAACAGATGGTTCTACACAACCTTAAGACCCTGAGACTCATTGCAAAACCAAGATGACTTACTTCTTTTTCCCCTGCCATTTGCATTCATTATAATGGAGTTTAAATTCTTACAGAATCCTCGGTCTAAAAATTCTGTGGCTTATATGAAACAAAAACAACAACAAAAAAGACGCCATAAATTAAGTCCACTGCATGGTAGTACTGGAAAGTCTTGTTCATGTAATTTCGCATGAGGAACATGAGGAACTATCCACCATACCCATGGTTAAAGAATTTCTCTGTTGAAGCAAGAAGTATGGCTTAGATGGTATTGCATTTCGAAAGAGAAGGTCTTGAGAGTCAATACATCTTAAGGCTGTTAAGCAATTCCCTGCTTTCATAAATGCAATTTAATATGTATTCTTCAGCTTGGGGAAAAAGACTTACTACATACTTCATAATCACTTCAATAAAGAGGCAAGCTTTGGTCTGCTGAAATAATGTTTTAATTAATGCCACAAATTCCACATGCAAATACCAATAAGGCAACCTTTGATAAATGGGCGCGTATCATAAATATGTACAAGTTAAATGAAAAAGCTTGTATCTAATGAAGAGATCCAAAATTTAAGCAAGTGTAGGAATGAGACCTGAATACAGAATTTTTATGTTTGAACAGTTAAATGATTAGTATAGATTTAGCCACCGTTAGGTTGGTCATGTTTTTAAATATTCTAACTGCATTTTTCCACTCACCAGCTATAAACATTCTTTTCACTTATGGCAGGAGTGGGAATTTGGACTTAGGCTTCTAATGGCAAGAGAAGTCCTAAATAATTAAATTGTTGAAATAAGATATCAATGTGATGAAGCTTTTTGTCCTCCTCCTCCTGCCTAGTCAGATGTTCTAATCCAGAGCAGATTGTCAAGTGGTTCATATCTTCTTTTCTTCAGTAGCCTTTGAGAAAAGAAATTACTGGTTTCAGACTTGTTGCTGCTTTCCAACTTTCTGCAACACACATGGCAAGAGAAAAAAAAAAAAAGAAAAAAGAAAAAAAAAAAAGATTCAGAAATAGAAAGGGAGAAATGATGAAGCCTTGAAGCCTTGAGGTTGAAGATACAACATGTCTGATGCTAGCTGTGGGTTTGCTGTGCAGCATTAAAACTGAACTCTGCCTAATAATGGCATCAGCAGTAACTAAAGTGTTTAAGCCACTCCCTGAAGCAAAAAATACACTAATCTCACATGATTTTTTTTCCCAGAAGATTTCTGATCTTACACTGTGACTGATGTTGATTAAATGCTTCTTTTTTTTTTTTCTTCTGTATGCCACCTAATCCCAGCCCCATAGGGCATAGATCAGAACCAATGATATTTGTGCAAAGTGGATAAGAGACAATGAGCCATTATGGAAAACGATTTTGAGGGAAACCAATTGTGAATTGCAAGAAAGCATGAAGATCAGGGGCTTATGCTGGGAGAGAACAGTTGGGCTTGGAATGGTTGAAGGATGAGGTTAGGCCTACAGCTTGACTGGAAACTGCTTTGTAAGAAAGAAGAGACTGGTCTTTCTTACCACACCAAGGGGGATTCAGAGGAGGACCCTCTAGAGGAAGAAATGAAAACATATCATCATTGGTTCACTGAAGTTGCTTAAAAGACCAGAGTAGGGGAACAAGGATTGTGAATTTGGCATAGTAACAGTGATTAAATGTGAGGAAAATGTGTAGGATGCATGCAGGGAAAGGAGAAGGGCACATCTGAGACTGACTGGATGACTTAAAGCAGTCATTTGTACCAATAAGAGCTATGTAAGGAGCTAGAACCGTGGGCTGGAAGCCAAGCTTAGATTTCTAGGTATGAAGAATAAGACTGGAGAACAATGCTTGTGTCCAAGGGCAGAGAAGAGAGAATGAAAAGAAGAAGAGATTGGAGAGAATGGGACAGAAGAGATCAAACTTGGCAGAGAAGAGTGGAAAAGAAATAGGCAAAGCAATTTCCACCCATGCCCCACAGAGAGATCAAGAGGAAGCCCACTGTTTCTGTGTAAAGGATTAGTACAGACTGTTCTGCTTTCCACCTGCAGCATGAAACAACTCTTCTCTCAGCTGAGAAGTGAACAAGCTTTGGCAGAACATTATTTAGAAAGCAAAATTGAACAAAATTCTTAAACTTTCTGACTTCTGATAATGTGTGGAACTTAATTTGTCTCTTTAATAAACTACACTGTCAATCTTCAATTACATTACCGTATATTTTTTACACAGGTTTTCTGCTTATGGTTGTTTTAAGTGCTTGACTTGACTATCTCAGTAATCTTGTTTTAATACAGTCCTCCTTCAATAAGTAATCAGAGTGCATTGTAATAATAAATGAAACAGAAATGCATGCATTATTTTAGTTGCTTGCTAATTGCTTGTTTAATTAGAGTACTCGCTAATTTGAAAAATGCAGGTTCTTACAGTGGATTTCATAGTGATTAGTAGAAATTGGTCAGGTTTTCCTGTGAGTACTTTGAGTGGACTCTCATGGTTAAACTGAGAACCATGTGAAAATTCTCCCAATTAGTTGAAGTGGGTAGGCTCAGGATGAAATAATATGACCTGATTTTTTAGCTCTGACCTCTCTGGAGTGTTTCAAAGCATGTTGGGTTAGGTGTACAGTGTAATCACTCTGTAGCATTTATTTCTGAATGCTGGTCTGAGATGGGCTGTTATTTCTTTATATTCGTTCCCTTATCATTAGTTTGTGCCCACACAGCACTTTAAACATTTGAAGAACTCTACAGATGGTTAGCCTTGAAAAATTCCTTCTGGCAGATGTCAAAGTCAACAAACAAGTGTTCTCTGTAATTCACTGGAACATGTTATGGAGCACAAGGAGTTTAAAATAGCACAAATTTAAGCATTTTATTCTATTTTTCATTTTAATACATTTTCTTTTCAATAGTTTCAACAATTTTGACTGCAATACTTTTCTGGCTTTTTTGTCATGAAAGAAACATCACAGAGGGATTGGAGACAGGGATGACGTAAGAGAAGCTTAGCGCAGGCTCGTGTATAGCATAAAACATATATTTGCAAGAAAGTGACTGTTTCCAATACATTTTTTTGAGATAATCAGATCTTGTATAACACAGATGTTACATGCACACTTCAACTTTAGAGCTAGACAAAAAAATTAGATTTCATGCACAGAGATTTCGGTTGCTGAAATTCCATTCTTTTTTTCTTTTTTTTTTTTTTCCTCCAAGGTTGGATGAAAATCTGGAATAAGGATGATTTTTTTTTTTTCCAGGATTAAAAATTTCAAACATTATTAATCTGGAAACGTGAAAAAGTGTTCCATTGAACCATTGAATTTATATTTGTAAAAGTTGTCTTTTTTTTCTATAAGAAAAGATGGTGTCAAAAATGTTACTTTAGCTACACGTAAAATTTCTGTAAAACATACCAACTTGGTTTCTGTATCTGCTGCACACAGCTCACCGTCAGCTATATTGAATCACTGATGCCCACCAGTGAACGACAGAAACAGCTGAAGCGCCAGTATTGCTTTGAATGTGACTGTTGTCTCTGCCAAGATCAAGAAAAGGTAGGTTGAGCAAAGAAATCTCTTTTCCAGTGCAGCAGAATTTTCCAGGGGCATTCAGCACCTTCCCTACCTTTATGTGATACTTATATTTTGCTATTAATTGAATCACCAGTATACAGAAGGAAGTAACCCCTGACCTTAGTTATGTTTATGTTGCCACGCAATAACAGCCATGAAGGAAAGCAGGAAATACTGACCACATGATCAGAATTTCTTGTTAAACTGGGCACTGTCCACAAAGCTAGGAACTGCTTTCAGTTCTAAGGTGTGGTTCAATTATTTTGAAATTCAAGGAACTCTGAAAATGAGTTGGTATGATTTTCAGCTAAAAGGAAAGGTTGATTTTTTGTCTATTAAAAAAAAATATATTGGAACAGAAATTGCCTAATGTTAGAGGAAGGCTCTGCTTATCTTCATAATAATGTTAAATTCTGACAAACACAGTAAATTTTCAAGAATTACCACATACATTTAGCAAATGTCAGAGCTAAGTGACACCCATGGTGGTGAATCTCCTTGTAGAACTACTCATAGCTTTTATGCTCTCTTTTGGAAGTTCTTGGAGCAGATGCTGTTGTAGATAAAATTTTGTTCAATAGGACGTAATTGAACCCATTAGGGTTCAAGCTGGCCTTATTTAATCCTTTTTGGTTTGCTTCATATTTAGACAGCTCAAGCAGAATAAGTCTGGCTGCAAGCCTGAGGTGAGATCAAATGGAATATGTAAAATGAGGCTGTAGAATTTATTCATAGCAATTCGTCCACTTTGTCTCTCTAGTTATAGATACACTCGTTCTAATTTTCAGAAATGAATATTTTTGGAAAGTCACATGCCACAGCTTTGTGTGTTCACAGTAGGTCAAATGTGGAAGATTTTAGTGAAATTATGATTCTGAGGAGCATGGTTTGATTCATGAAGTAATCGCTGTATGGCTAAAAGATTAAAAATTAGTCCAGCAACAGCATTTTAAAAGTGTTTGGGGCAGGACAGCTGTGTAATTTTGTTGAAGTCAGAGTATGCTCGTTAAATGCGTAAGGTATCATTTGAATCATAGATAAGCAGTTCAGAAAAGAAATAACAGAAAAGTTTCAGGTATATGACATAGTACTAAATGACTTCCTGTCTGTGTGCAAAGTTGCTGGCATTTTGTGCCTAACAAAGATTGCTGCAATGCTATTTGGATAGAATGAAGAGAAGAAAAAAACTCTATTTAAAGATGCTCATTCAAGTGCCTGCCATGAAATGATTAGCTCTGGGGAATGGCATCCCAATGCAGATGTAGTGATGATTAAGAAACATAAACATGCTAAAGAGTTTTTATGGATCACTTAACAGTCTGTGGAAGGGGAGACAAGTGAAGTAAAGACCATTCAGTATGTCAAATGTTTTAAGGAATAAGATCCACAGATTGGAGTACACTTGCAGTCACTAATACTCAATATACCACATCTACCAATACTGTATTGATGTTATATATATGCACATTTAGAAAAGTAATAACCTCATAAATAAGTTAAAATTAAGTTTTTTTTTTCTCTTTGAATGTTTTTTAAATGTGTTTTGAATTCATCTTCAATAGATATATCTTTTTTATCTTTTGGGAAAATTCCCTGTGAGGGAAAGATCCTTCTGATTGCATTCTGAAATTCTTTTAACTTTCCTCATTGTTACCATGTAAAGACATCTCTGAAGAGCTAAGAATGTCATCTCAACACTGTTGATGTCTAAGAGGACGTCCTCTTTGTCCTTCATTTCAATACAGGATAATTAGGTATAATCTCCAGCAATCTTCATAGTACTGCATTTTTTTTCTTTGCAACAGAAATGTTACTGTTGTAACATTTTTCATGTCTAAATTGGTAACATGGAGACATGCAGCATTGTAGGTACAATGAAAGAGAGAATTTTTGGGAAATTCTGGTTTTTGACATTACAGAATAGCTGGATTGACATACCTAAAACTTTTCAATAGCATCACTTCTGAAATACCCCTGGTACTGGCCAAAATTTACAGGACCTTGGAAAAAAATTTTAAAGGCAAACTTTTAGTCAACAAAGCAGGCAATGGCTGAAGCTCTGTGTGATTTAGGATGGAAGCTTTAATATTGTTATTCAATAAGTAATAATCAGCTAATAGTAAATTTCTGTATTACAACATTGCATGGTTAATGCAATGGGCTTAGTTAAACAGCAATCCAGTTCATAAATCTTCATTATGGGTAACAATGCAAGTTCTAGTTTGCCTGGAAATGCCTCGTACCTTCAAGTTCTTGTTTGGCTTTCTTCTTTTTTCCTCTTTTCTTTTTTCTTCTCCCTCTTCCCTTCTCCAGTTGTACTTATCAAAACTCACTACATTTCCAATTTTAACACTTAGATTGTATTTTCTTGCTGCTCCCAAGTCCTAGTCTTGCGGAGTATCTCTGCCAGCTGCTGAGTTTTTACTAGAGACCAGTGGAAGCTGACAAATCACTCTTGAGATGCACAGATTTATTTACAGTAAAGTCAAATCCTTTTCATTGTACCTTTTTTTCTACATCTTTTATAATTACTTAAAAGTGGTCTCAAGAATCCTGGGGGAAATATCTATTAAAGAGCATGTAAAGCTTATATATAGTTGTACATGCTTACACATCTGCTTATTTATGCTTATTTTTCAAGATACTTTGCAGCATCTCTTCTGGTATGTTTTCTAAAGAGTTCTTCTCCATATCCAAAGAAAAGACAAGTAAATCATTCTTGCTGTCTTGCAATAGGCATGTACTGGAATGGGTTTGAGAGGTTAAGCAAAATCTTAGAGCAAAAACCCACTCTTTAAACAGATAAAGTTAGATGAGATGGATTACATTACTCCACAAAAACAAGAATCTTATGATTACATGTCTCTGTAGTTCTAGATGGCAGGAGTGCAGTTTCAGCTACATAGGTTACACTTCAAATATTTGTCTCTGGTTGCTACTTTAGATACATTTATAATATAGCCAATGTAGCTGCTGCTTCACTGTTATTTGAGCTAAAATTGATTAAACTGGGATGGTGGTTGCATAGTACTTCTTTACTTCAGTTTAACTATGTATACAAAGAAGAGTAGCGTACCAAGGTGCTCCATTGCTGTTCTAGTTTATGTGATTCTACCAGGGCTTTTTCCAGTTTCCAGTTTTTTTTTAGTTTAATGTGGATACATGTAATATTTTATGCAATAGCTATATAAAATAGCAAAATTCCCTCTGACACCATCAGTGGCTTCGACATTCATAGTCACTTTGTCTTTATGGTATGGAGGCTTTATACAGTGTAGCTCTTGTCTCTATTTGTTTCCCAGTTACAGTTCTTTTGCACAATTGTTTGTATCTCAGACTGTTATATGTCGAAGTCTGCATTTTCAAGTATACTTGTCCATATCCCAATCACAGGGACCCTACTCAACTGCTGTTGAGACACAATGACTCACCCAGTGTACGCAGACACATGGTGCTAGGACAAGTGGAGAGGACCATGTCTGTGCAAATGGCCTGGCACTGTGTATTGTATGAGCTAGTATTCTTCTTTGGTCACTGCTCTTCAAAGGAATTCGTGGTGAGTCTCTGCTTGCTGAGCATTTTTCTGTTTGGCTGTCTCACCACCAGGACAGCCATAAGCAAATCCAGGTTCATAGCTGTCATCAAGGATGAGAAAACATGGAAGGTGAACAGTGGCGACTAGCTTTAGCTGTGGATCTCAAATAATTTTTGATGCCTGGATCCCAGTGTCGGCTTCACTTTAATTCTAGAACATCATACCATAATGCTAGCCATTTTATTTCAGCAACTGGTCAAGTGGCCTGGCTACCGATTTAATGTGGGAAGAAAACCACTGGTTAACAAACCAGTGTAAACAGGTTAAGATTGAGGTGATTCTTTTTACAGTACAGCTACTGCCCCATTAAAAAGTACTAACTGCGAATCTATCCAATATTTTTAATTAATTGTGAGCTGAAATGAAAAACAATTCAGTAACTTAGAGAGGGAGAAAGAAGACTTCTTTTTAAGTCACTCTCAGAATGTTTGCTGGCTCTTGATATTTCAAGATTTTGCTGCTGTAATGTCTTCATTGTATCTCTGACGTATTTATACATTATTATTATTTACTCTAGACATTTTTAGAACAATCTCCACTGTAATTCTGAAGTGTATTACTTCCTAAAAGCTGAACTCCTGGCACATAAAAGCCCCTTACATTAATTATAATTAAAGATGGGATTATACTGATGACAACTATTCTAAAAGGAGGATGTTTTTTTTCAGAGTCATGAGCCAGATTATTGTTCACCTTTTCAGCCAAGGATTTACAGGAGATTTGTGCTTATAGAATCACTTCACTATGAGTTGTCTTTCTCCTTGGGAGCCAGGATTTAATATTTTAGTCTAGCTTGGTTTTTGGAATGCTTTTATTTATTACAAGGTCAAAAGCAATGAATTTGAATCATTTTTACGTTTGGCCAGTGTTTGATACTTGCCAAAGCTAATAATAACATAATGCCAGTAAGTACTTTATTCCTTTAATCAGTTTATTGCTCTGCTTAGCATTCAGTCGTGTTGCACACTGAGTTTTGGTACAGAGCATCACAAGTCTACTTTCCAACTTGAAGATTCTCAGAATTAGGTCATCTGAACAGTAGCCAAACCATCTGCTTCCATACGAAAATGTCATCTGCAATTCTTTAGCTGGTATTACTCTTCCATGCACTCACCAACTTTTTTATAAAAGCACTGAACAAGCTCCTGAAGCTACTAGATTTTTGACTTTTTTTTTTTTTTTTTTTTAATATCCTGAGAAATAATGAAACTGTAGTTTATGATTGTCATTAAATGTAAGTGGTCCTTTAACTCACTCAATCAAATTTTTTTGTAGAACATATACCCATGGTTGACTCGTCTCAGAGGTTTCTGAGAGTAATTTGAATATGGTTTTTTACCTTTATGTTTCAAGTCAACAATCATGTTGAAGAATGTGCTTAAATCAC